ATAGTAGTCATAGGGAACTATGAGATTAAAGGAGAATATAATCTTTGCAGAGAATAAAACAAGTATCTAAAGCACTGCAGTAGCAGGTAAGACTAGAGAATACTACAACCTCCACTGCCCATTCTAGCCACTGACACCCCAGTAATTGTGACATTCTGGCACAGTCCAAACATGAAACACTTTTCTCATATCATTAACCTAGTTACCCCAGTTTCTGTGTTTGTTCCTGCAGATGCCTTAAGAAAAGGGAAAGAATCATAAATCCAATTACTTCTGCCATAACTCAGTGAGTTTTATGTGGGCACATACATGTGGGGTGTGTATATATACATGTATGCATACATTCACACAGAATTGTAAATTTTCTGATTTCAAAAATGTAAGAGTTTCCACCAAATAGCAAATAAAGACTGGTCTAGATTAGATTTAGCATTAGGACTGTTAAGCAGATATTATCAAACTAAGCTAATTTTCTAGTTCTCACATTGCATTTCCTTTGGAAATGCAAACTGTATTTTATTTTTTTGGAAATGCAAATTTTGACTATAAAACTTTTATTTAGTCTAATATAAATTTCAGAAGAAACTTCAGGTCACAATAGTATTTGATGAGAAGTCCTGGAGGAAAGATCTTTTAACATAGTTACTGTGAGCATTCAAAGCACTGCTTTGGTTATTATGCTTCCCAGTAAGAAAAGGAAGAAGGCCAGAGAATATTTACATTTACATTGTGGTGAGCTCGGAGTATAATGAATGAAGAACACCGTATATACCAGGGCAAAGGCATTAAGTCCATGCATGCTGTGTTCCTTGATATTATAAATTCTGGTTCTTTTCCCTAATGTTTAATTACAAAATTGCCTTTGCTTAATTCCTTTGTAGATTCTCTATATATTAGAGAAATTGGCCGTTTTTATTTAATAGGTACAGAAAAGCTGAATAGAAGCTCTGTGTGCATGGGTTAGGCTTGAGAGTGGATGGGCTTCAGTATACAAGGTGATTGGGCACCAAACTAGCATTTTTCTTGGGGTACCATCAGATGTTAGGATCTAGAAATTTTTCCTCTAGGGCTTTTTAGTTACTGGAATACACGAATATTTTAGCCCTGCATGGGTAGCATATGTCAGGCTGCTGGCACTTTGGGAACAGGGTAGAGGAGAAGACTAAGTTCTCCTGTGGAATGTGCAGACATTCAGTCAATCTCCCTGTTTTCAGCCCTGCACTCATAGTCTCAAGTTTATGCTCATCAGATTCACCTGTGCCACAGACTTGGGCTGCTGGAATGGGCGTGTGTGCTTTCATGTGATTGCTCAGAGGAGGGGAGACCTGGGCGTGGAGTGGGACTCTCATGACCCTGGAGATAGATTTTCAGATAGTTTAACAGTTTTTAGTGCCACCTACACTTTCTGTGGGAACTGGTGCCTTCCAATTCAGAGCTGCCCCACAGGGTGTGTCAGCTGCTTCTAAGCATATTTTCCTGGAAGTAGTGAGGGTAAAGAGTTTTCTGTTCTGTTCAGTCAGCTACTCCATCTGCTTTTTGTCTTCTGACACTTAAAAAAAAAATTCCCTATCTGTTGATGTGTTTTTCATTCATACCTTTTGTCCTTTGAGATGGTACATTTTGTTTAAAAAAATCCCTTTACTGTCATTTCAGTGTGATTTTGAGATGTAGGGTTTATGGTCAGTCTGCCCTTTAACCAGAAGTCTGAACTATTTGTTCATTGCTGTCTCTTTAGTGCCTGGCACATACTAGGTACTTAAGTAAATATTTGATGAGTGAATAATGGAATGAATTATAAGTTAGAAGTTTTTATGGTAAAAGGGAGCTTTGATGGCAGAGAAATATTATGACTATATATGATTATATAAGAACCTAAAAAGCATCTTTTAAATTGTGGTTTTGTTTTTGTTCCTCAACACGGTTGAGGAAACCAAGTGTTTCAATGTGTGGCCATCAACAAAATGAAAAGGCAACCTGCTGAATGGGAGAAAATATTTAAAAATCATGTATCTGATAAGGAGTTAATATCCAAATTTATAAAGAACTCCTACAATTTCAATAGCAAAAAAACAAACTATCCTAACAAAAAGTGGGCAGAAGATCTGAATAGACACTTTCCCAAAGAAGACATACAGATGGCCAACAGGTAAATGAAAAGATGCTCAATATCACTTATCATCAGGGGAATGAAAATCAAAAATGGTGAGGTACCACCTCACACCTGTTAAATGGCTATTATCAAAAAGACAAGAAATAAGTATTAGTAAGGATGTGGAGAAAAAGGAACTGTCATACGTTGTTGGTGGAAATCCAAATTGGTGCAGCCGCTATAGAAACAGTATGGAAATTCCTCAAAAAATTAAAAATAGAATGCCATATATTCAGCAATTCCACTCTTGGGTATTTATCTGAAGAAAACAAAGACACTAACTCAGAAAGATATATGCACCCCCATGTTCATTGCAGCATTATTTACAATAGCCAAGATATGGAAACAACTTAAGTGTCCATTGATGCATGAATGGATAAAGAAATTATGGTATATATACACAATGGAATATTCATAAAAAGAATGCAATCTTGCCATTTACAACAACGTGGATGGACCTTGAGGCCATATACCGACAAAGACAAATACTGTATGATCTGTCTTATATGTGGACTCTAAAACAACAAGCAAAAAATAAAAAGCCCAAGCTCATAGATACAAGAGAACAAGAGATTGGTGGTTGCCAGAGGCAGGGGCTGGAAATGGATGAAATGAGTGAAGGGGGTCCAAAGGTACAAACTTCCAGTTATAAACTAAATAAGTCATGGGGATAAAATGTATAGCATGGTGACTGTAGTTAATAATACTGTATTACATATATGAAAGTTGTTAAGAGAGTAGATCTTAAAAATTCTCATCACAAGAAAAATATTTTTTTGTAACTCTGTGGTGATGGATGTGAACTAGACTTACTGTGGTGATCATTTCTCAGTATATATAAATATCGAGTATGTTGTACAAATGAAACTAAATAAAGTTACAATGTCAATTATGTCTCAGTGAGAAAAAATAAATTATAAAGCATGTGCTACTTCAGGATGGAGATAGGTTTGTTTTACTTGGTCAAGCACAATTAGAACTATTAGGTTAGGCTTAAGATACACATTTGCCTATTTATAATTTTTCTTTAGAGATAGACTTGTATTGAAACTGATTTATGTAGCAAGCAAAGTCTTTATTCTTATTTGTATGTATATTTAGATAATTTTATTTATTTTTTATATTTAGGTGATTTTAAAGAGACTTATGGTGATTATGTTGTAAAGCTTTCCAGGTACCACTGCCCCCTTCCCATTGGACCTCTGTGGTTAATAAAGTTTGAGAATTACTGGATTACTGTGGCCTCTTGTTCAAGTATATTTTGCATTTCAAAGTGAACATGTGAAGATGGATGAAATCTAATAGGGATAAAGAACTTAAGCTATAAAAATGAGAGTAAATAGTAAAATGAATATTTTGATCAAACAGGTTAGTATTCTCCTTACTCGTAAAGGCAGCTGTGGACAACAAAGAGGGGACTGTAGAGAGATAGAAATACAATAGACAGGCTGTGATTTGGCTAGAGTGCTGGATCTTGGGTCTTGCAAATGGGATGCCTCCACACTTCAAACCCCAGGAAATGAATAAGTGAACTTCTTTGCATTTTCCCCTAAAATTGATGACTTAATTCTGAGTTCAAATAATGAGCAAATTACAGTGTTGTTTTAAACCTCCATGCATTTATTTTCCCCCCAATCTTTGAGCTTTATTAAAGGCATCTGCTCATAAATCCAAAGAGAGGTCTTTCTAATTAAAGAGGTTGCCTCCCCAGTAAAGAAGGAAGAGGCCATGCCACAAAAGTGGTTTAGTAAAGTAGTAGATTAAGAAAGTCCCTTATGGAAAATTCTAGGGTAAGAGAAAGGTGATAAACTGGAGCAAAGATAACCAGATATCTTTGGGGCACCTGGCTGGCTGAGTTGGTAGAGCATGCATGATCTCAAGAGTTGTGAGCCCCATGTAGGGTGTAGAGATTACTTAAAAATAAAGTCTTAAAAAAAAAGATAACCAAATATTTTTGAAAGTTTTCTATAATAGATTCTCCACACCTGAATGTTTTTCTGGTTATCTTCTTTAGAATTCCCATCTTTGTTATTTGTTTGACATCTTTTATCAAGTTGCTAACATACAATCAAGTCGGTTTTAGGGAGAAGAAATTGAGAAGATAAAATATATAAATCAGAAATTAAAGGATGGAAGTGGGTGGGCATGGGAAAGAAGACAGAATGAGAAGCAAAGAGAGCTTTAGAAAAAGAAAAACTCTGGAAAATATGACCAAGACTTTTTACATGTAATTTTTTCTCCTCTTGAATAACTTCTCCAGTATGGTTGGTGTTGAGATTTCTGAGAAGAAACGTGAAAAAATAGAAAGCCAGGAACTTGTTTCAGACCTTTATAGAAAATAACCTAGTACCTCCTTATATGGATGTTAGAGAACAAAAGTGTGTGATTATAATGCAATCAGTAGGAAACTGAGTTCAGTGTTTTTTGCCAAATAGTTTTGTGTTAATGTAAAACTGGAATATGAACCTGTACCAAAGAGTTATTAAGAAAAATATTAGTACTTTCAGGAGAATCAGATACTAAAATCTGTATTAATAGTGACTGTGGAAAGGCCATGCTGCTATTAGAAATTTCAAAGAAAAATTAACAGGAAGGTTATAACTTTTGCTTTTGAGGCAGTGATACATTTTTGATTCTCTTCATTTTCACTTTATATATAAATGTCATGAAAATTCCATCATGGTTGACAAATATAAAACAGAACAACCATATTTTAGCACTGACGAGGCCAGAGACTTAAGTATTTTTCAAGGTTTAAAAAACTTGTCTTTCTCGATGAAAGGTAAGAAGTCAAATATTATTTACAAAGCCCATTTCTCATTGGCTTTTTGTGTTTTGGGCTTGTTTTCAGGCAAAAGGACTGCTATGGAAGATGGAGCTCTTTGTCCGTTTTCCAGAATGTGTTTCCATCAATGAAACATGATACTGCTGTTCTGTGTTGACATGCTTGAAGACCACCCACATCTCTGCTCACGCCTTCCATCCTGCTGAAACCATGGTCTTCTCTGCAGTGTTGACTGCGTCCCAAACTGGGGCAACCAACACAACATTTGTAGTCTATGAAAACACCTACGTGAACATTACGGTCCCTCCACCATTCCAGCATCCTGGCCTTGGCCCGCTGCTCAGATACAGCATGGACGCGATGGCTCCCACTGGGATGGGGAGTTCCTTGACCATGAATGGCACAGCTGCACCCCCAACACCAGCAGTTTTTAAGAGCCTAAACTTGCCTCTCCAGATCATCCTCTCTGCTATAATGATATTTATTCTGTCTGTGTCTTTCCTTGGGAACTTGGTTGTTTGCCTGATGGTTTACCAAAAAGCTGCCATGCGCTCTGCAATTAACATCCTCCTTGCCAGCCTGGCATTCGCAGACATGTTGCTTGCAGTGCTGAACATGCCCTTCGCCTTGGTAACTATTGTTACTACAAGATGGATTTTTGGGAAATTCTTCTGTAGGGTATCTGCTATGTTTTTCTGGTTGTTTGTGATAGAGGGAGTAGCCATCCTGCTCATCATTAGCATCGATAGGTTCCTTATTATAGTCCAGAGGCAGGATAAGCTAAATCCATATAGGGCTAAGATTCTAATTGCGGTTTCTTGGGTGGCTTCCTTTTGTATAGCTTTTCCTTTGGCTGTAGGAAACCCTGACCTGCAGATCCCTTCTCGAGCCCCGCAGTGTGTGTTTGGATATACAACCAACCCTGGTTACCAAGCTTATGTGATTTTGATTTCTCTAGTTTCTTTCTTCCTACCTTTCCTGGTGATACTGTATTCGTTTATGGGCATCCTCAACACCCTTCGGCACAATGCCTTGAGGATCCACAGCTACCCCGAGGGTATATGCCTCAGCCAGGCCAGCAAACTGGGTCTTATGAGTCTACAGAGACCCTTCCAGATGAGCATTGACATGGGCTTTAAAACGCGTGCCTTCACCACCATTTTGATTCTCTTTGCTGTCTTCATCGTCTGCTGGGCCCCATTCACCACTTACAGCCTTGTGGCCACATTCAGTAAGCACTTTTACTATAAGCACAACTTTTTTGAGATTAGTACCTGGCTACTCTGGCTCTGCTACCTCAAGTCTGCATTGAACCCACTGATTTACTACTGGAGGATTAAGAAATTCCATGACGCCTGCCTGGATATGATGCCCAAGTCCTTCAAGTTGTTGCCACGTCTTCCTGGTCACACGCGGCGGCGGATACGTCCCAGTGCTGTCTATGTGTGTGGGGAACACCGGACAGTGGTGTGAATATTGGCACTGCCTGACATTTGGGGTGATGGTTGCTCTTCATCTGACTTTGAATTTTCTTTTACATGGGTTCTCCAAGTGTACCTTATTGGTTTTTATAGGGTTTGTGTGTGTGTGTGTGTGTGTGTGTGTGTGTGTGTGTGCGCGCGCGGACTCAGCGTAAAGAAAGAGTGGTGATTAGTTATAATTCTATTACCAAGGATACGCAATAGGGAAATGATCACAAATGTTACCTCCAGGGTTCAAGAGAAATCCTTGATTTAGGGTGGGGAGATGGTGTTTTGTTTCTTTGATTGATTTTGTTTTTGAAGCAGGAATCAAGATTGTGCTTTATTGAGCCTGCAGTTACATTGAATTGTAGGTGTTTTGGATGCTGCTAAGGTATGCTTAATTAAGTTTATCATTTTTTTTTTCCAGAAGACATTGCTGCTTTTTGTCATCACATTGGAGCCAAAACCACATACATCTCAGTAGATAAATATTTACTTTTATTGAAAAAAATAACCCAAGGCAGTTAGTGACATTTTAAAGGTCATTAATATTTACTTTGGTGCACTTTAAGAAATAATGTACAAACTAATTCAGTCATGTTTTTCAGAATTGTTTTTATACATGACATGTTGTGCTTTAGGGAACATTGCATTATCATTTCTAGGAAGATAGTTTTAAAAAATGTTTTATTTGCATGTTGAGTTTTAAAGGAGAGAACATAAAAATGTAGACATTCTTCTAAGCACAATAGCAATTCTTCAGAGCTGAGTTGAGGAGACAGGGCATCCTTGCAAATGTAAATGGGAGGCAGTGAGGAGGTAGCTGGCATGGGCTGTGGTATTTCCTTTGACTCAAGGATTCTCACTGAGTCCAGTGGGGAGAAGGACCTACCATTTATTGGACACCTGCCATCTTCCAGGCACTGTGCATTTTTATCCTCACGGCATCCTGTGAGGTAGGTATTCTTTTTTTTCTTTTTACGAAGAAAGTACGTCTCAGAGAGATGAAAATCCTGCCCAAGGTTAATGGTAGAGCTGGAATCCAAGAAAGTCTGTCAGAATCCTGAGACTGCTGTTCTTCTGTGCCACAGAGACATACCATTCGGGTTTAAGTATTTCATAGTCAAGAAGGAACTCTGTATCTTTAATTTTTTTAGACTAAAACCTTCCTTTTAAAAGTAGTTTCACTTTTTTTATTACCAAAAAAATGTGAAAACATTACAGAAAGTGTGGAAAATAGAAAAAAATCACAACTACCCTTTTACAGTGGAACTTAAAAATCTCAGACAAATAAGGCTATAAGGAAATAAGGTGATTTTTTTGGTCTACAAAATAAGTGACTGACAACTATGGAGAAGTTAAATACAGCTGTATGTGGGTCTTGGCCTTGCAGGGTCTGAGGTTTCCAGTTGTCCAGTCGTTTCTAAATGTTCTGGGCAAAATAGCACTGTTGCCTGAGGGCTTGCCCATAGCAGAGCTGGAGTTTGTGAATGTGCTCAAGAGTGTGTCTCCTACAAAGAAGCAAAGATAAGTCCTGGTCTGAGCACAGAGCAAGTTTTAATAGGGCAGGTCTGGGGTTTCAAATTATTTTTCTCTTGCCGACGACCTGCCCCGCCCCCCCCCCCCCCCCCCCCACCAGGTACATCCAGAGCCTTTGGTCCCCTTGCTCTGTGGCCACTGACACACTTTATAAAACAGCTGACAGGGATGGGGCTGCAGACTAAGGTCACTAGGGTTGAAAGTGTAGCCTCTTGGCCACATCATGGGCTTTATAAATAGCTGAGTTAACATGAACACTTTTTGGATTTTTATAGCATCTTTGCAGCATTTTAGTGCTTTGTGAGCCAGTGGTAAAAATGAGCCTCTGTTTCTTCAGTTTTACAACCACGGAGTTGGATTAGATGAATCTTGCCCAACTCTAATGTGCTTTCCTCCATGTGAGAGTAGAGATTTGTGAAGAGCTTGGCTGACGTCAGCATCAATCTTTGGTCTCCAGTGTTACTTCTTTGCAATTTACTTATTAGCTGTTTCTCAAAATGGAATGTCTCCTGAATGTTGGAAGAGCCCATAGCACTGTATCAGGAGTTAGGACTTTGGAAGATAGATGACATCTTGAAGGACCTGGGGAACCCTGCTCTCAAGGCAGTTGTGATGGTTTTAGAACTCATTTTCCAGTTAAAAAACTCTTTTGGGACTCAAAGCACTTACTCAGCATGTTGTTTTGGGATCAGCCTTTGCTGATAGTCACCTACCTCTTTGGTTTCTAATTTATATTATTCACAGGTTAAAATTGTTTTTGTCCACTAAGGATCTTACAGAACATAAACACTGTAGTAGATACCTAGGAACACCTGGAAGTGTATCATGCTTTCCATTTTCAATATAAACTGGATTTCAAGCGGATAATAATACGTCTATTTGAAATTAGACTTTCTCTGATGAAAGCATGATCTGTATTCATCTCCCATATTGGCAGTAGGTCTTGAGACTCCTTTTGTGATAGGAGTTGAAACTGAGCTTTGTTTCCTTTGTCCTTTCTTATGAACAGTCCTTGGGTACTTCTGTGCTGCCTGGTAGGCAGTGCACTCTTGGGCAAGAGCGAGAGCTCGGGGTGCCTGCTGAGATGCTCCATGTTTGTGAGAGAAGACTGTGCGGGGCCTTAGTGGGAACTCAGCACCGCCACCCAACAGCAGATCTCTTTACACTGGAGACTCTTGATAGGGGGCAGTTTACAAATCATTTTGAACGTGTTTGTTATGTATACATTTTGGAAACTTTAAAAAAAATGTACTCTGATGTACCTTTGAAAAATTTAGGTGCAGAATCCTATTTTTCCTATTCCCCTGTATTTTCTTGAGGGGGTAAAGAAAAATACCACTACTAATTATTGCCGCTGACAGACATAATCAGAAATGTTTTTGTTTTCATTTTCCTTCTGGCAAATAGGTAAGAGGCATGAGAGAGATCGTGAAATATCTACGATCAAGAGAGAGTCAAAAGAAATCCCCAGTAGTCTGGAGTAGTGATATTTAAATTTTAATAGGAATTTGTGTCTAAGTATTCCCAGGGGAGCTTGTTTTTTTTAAATTTTATTTTATTATGTTATGTTAGTCACCATACAATACATCATTAGTTTCTGAGGTAGTGTTCCACAATTCATTGTTTTCATATAACACCCGCTGCTCCATGCAGTACATGCCCTCCTTGATACCCATCACCAGGCTTACCCATCCCCCTACCCCCTCCCCTCTAGAACCCTGTTTGTTTCTCAGAGTGGTTGTTAACAATACAGGGGTCTGGGTTCCCCAGAGGGGCTGCGGTTGGGCCCAGGAATGCACACTATTTCGTTGAACACTCTGCATTCCCATGCAGGTCCCTGGGTCCCTGATCCTGAAGCACAGGTGCTTCAAGAAGCACTCCTGTTGAAAATATACCCATTTTAAGATTGTTTTACACAAAAATGTTAGTGTGGGAAGCCATTCATTATCTCCTAGTGCATGGGTCATCCACACATTGACAGGAGAATCGACACAAGGTTGTGCCTAATTTGCTGCCAGGCGTGTTAGTGCTGGGTCTCGCCAGTGTTAGCTGTATTTTCTCTCAGCTGGCAAAATTCTGATGGGCCATGTTGTTTCATACTAGAGCAAAAGGAGTCATTTAGTATTGGAAAGTCATGACTTTCAAGAGTCTAGTTCCTCTGTTTTCTTTTCCTCTAGAGAGATGTCTTTACTGTATATAATCTCCAGAAGAGTTTGAGGGGAATGTACAATTCATCGAATTTCCCATTGCTCTGCTTATGCCAGTCATGTTCAAAGGAAGCATGAAGAAAATAAGATAATCTTTTTACTCTTTGTATAATTTCAGTTGCTGACAAAGATATTTAATTTGTTCTTAATCTTTGCTTTTGTTTACATGAAAATATTTATGTATATATCACAGAAGAATTTCTACTTGCTTGACATTTTATTCTACTATGGTTTTTAAGTTTAAAGGACAGCTTAATTCAAAGTTATTTTCACAACATTAGTCCTGCTAAACTGCCTTCGTTGAAGACTCAGTTTTCAAATAATAAAAATATTAAAGCACATGTTTGTTATTACAGGTAAATGGTAATACATTTCTTAGCTATATATTGGTACTAGTCCTTTGTAATTAAAATTAATTTATTTTACAATAGTACCTGACCTATATGAAAAAAAAAACCCACTTTGAATTCTGGGTTGTAATTCAAGAATAAGAAGGTATGGTTATTTGTGCATATTATTATAACCGGGAAAAGAGCTCCCAATAAGAAAATGAATAAATATTTAACATTTCTAAAAGTGGAGTTTTTTTTAAAAGGACTACTTATCTTATCTTAGAAAGATTTGTCATGAGTAATACTTTCTGTTAAATTAAAATCTGAGTTGAGTTTTAAATCGTGCTTCCTTTGGGTTTTTATTTTCAAATTAGCTCTCAAACCTGTGTGTATATAATTATATTCTAGTTTTAGAAGTTCTCAGAGAAGTTAAAGATGAGATGAAACTTGGCAAAAGACCACTAGTATTAAGAAACGGTTTTAAGGAATTCTCTGTAGGAGAATTATGGAAATTTTACTGCTGAATTATTTAAAATTGGATTATCACTTGGCAAAACCATGACAATGTCTGCTCCTATTTTGACAAAATGATTTCAGATCGCACTTCCATTTGTAAAACATAAGTCCTTTCTAAAGTCCACTTTTAAATCTATAGGAAATATCAGTTATTTGTAAATGGGTTTCACCTTCTTGCCATTTAGATATGAGAGTTTTCTCTTCTTTCTCACTCCTATGCAATAGTAAAACATATTTCTTTTTAAGTTACAAAAGAAGATTGCCATTGAATCTACGTTTGATAGTTTTTTTTTTCTGAAATGGAAAGAAAGATATAGCAAAGTAGAGGAACATGTTGAATTAAAAACATTTTCATACCTACCATGAAAATAGACCATTTCTCATCTACCATGAACCCTACTTCACTCATACATAATAAAGAGAACCTTTAGGAGCAATTGAGATATCAAGGTACAGTCAATTAGATTTAGTTCAAAAAAGTAAAAATTTTACGGCTATATCAGTTAGCATTTAACAAAAGAAGCGAAACAGGTAGAAGATATTAAGACATTTATTGCAAGAACTGGCTTACATGATTGTGGGACTGGCTAGACAAATCTGAAATCCCAAAGGCAGGCTGTCAGGTAGGGCAAGCTGGAATTCACAGGTACTAGCTGACACTGCTGCCCAAGGTGGAATTTTCTGCTCCTGGGAGAAACCTCAGTTCTGCTTGAAAGGCCTTTCAACTGATTGAATCAGGCCTACCCAGATTATCTAGGATAGTCTCTCTTAGTTAAGGTGGATTGATGATGGACTTTAATCACATCTATAAAATACCTCCACAGCAACACTTAGATTAGTGTTTGATGGATGAACTGGGGACTGTAGCCTATCCGAATTGACACAGCAAAAGACGATTACAATGGTGAAATTCAAATTTAAAATATAATAAAACCCTCCTATGATGCTGTACTGCTAGTCCAAAAAATTCAGTTTGTGTTGAGGTTAGTAAAATGACTGAGATACGCTTGTGGCAGAGGGTGGAGTGCACATTCTGACTGCGTTCTATTCAAATCCACATCATCACAATATTTATCTCTGGTTTTCACTGTATCTATT